TTCTATTTATCACTTTTACCTATCGAGTTATAACGAAAATAGTAAACTAAAACAAAATACTTGTCGGAAATGTTCTTAAATATCTCCAATAAAACCGTCAGTGCAAATAAATAAATAAATAATTATTCGGAGTTTATAACAGCGCAGAATGAGGATCCCATTTTTTTGTTCAAACATTTCATTTTAAACAGAATACTTTGCTCTACTAGACTCTCTATGTATCAGAATTTTTGAATAATCGGATAGGAAAGAAATAATTAGATATTCGAAAAATTGGATTCTTCAGCCTATTGTGGAAAATCGGACATATATATTTTTATCAACCGTGTTGAGAGCTAGGAATGATTTTATGTTGTAGTTCTATTATTGCGTATCGGACATAACTCAAAATTTTGTCAAAAATGAGAAAGTTCTCGTTAAAGTTTAGGAAAATGATGCTGACTCTTTTTTTTTATTGATATATTAATATTCATAAATTTTTTTATCTAATGGTTTTTGTTTGAAGTTTTCTTTCTTTCTATTGTTGTCTATGTTCAATATTGTTACATGTGTTAAATATTGCACGACACTTCTGTGACATTATTCTTTTTCGAGTTTTGTGTCTTTGCTATAGTAGCCGGCAACAAAACAGAATTTTTTTTTCTTTGAACAAACTTGAAAATTGCACATGCATCTTTTGTCAATGGAAGATTCATGCTCACTGTAAAATAAATAATTTTCACTAGGATTATAGAACTAGTTCGGTACTGTTTTTAGATATTTCACAAATATAAAATTTGATTGATGTGAAATCAAAAGTTCCCACTGATTTCGGTTCTACTAGTAGAATTTTAGTTAAAAATTCATTTTCTTTTGTCAATGTCGTTCTATTTGCCATAGGTAAACAAGTTTATTGATAAAAAGGAAAACAAACTTCAGCTACCGGTATCTTTCAATAATCTGCAACTTCTCACACAAATAGAAGATGATTTTAAAATATCTGCTTCCTAACGCTGTGCTACCTCCTTGTTTTCAAGCAATGTTGTTTTATTCCTGAATTTGTATGTAATCAAATAAACTCGAATTCCTAATTATTCTATTCAGACAAGAAAAGTAAAATAGTATTTACATTAAAAAATACAAAAAATGTTGATTATTTCTACAACAACAAGACGTAATTTAACTGATCTTACTTTTTCAATCAAAACGAAGTAAGTCAAGTATACAAATCATAAAGATAAACTTTATTGTACAAACAAAATTTTATACGAAAACAGTAAAATAAGATGAGGAAATATGACATTTGTGAACTTTAAATATAACCTTTACATATTGTACAAGTACATTTGGCACGTTTTCCTTTTGTTTTCTTTTTACACGGTGTTTTAGGGACTTGAAGACCAGTTGATGAATTAGCCAATTGAAGACTATCATTTAATTTCTTTTGGATTGTTGGTTTTTTACGTTTTGGATTAGGTGGTCTAGAAAAATGGGAAGTTGAAATTAGCGACAACTTTTTGAAAGAAATTGATTTAAATCAATTTGACGTTACTTACGGTGTCCAAAGATAACGCCCGGCAGTTTTGGCAATCATGATCGGATCATGTTTCGACTGACCGCGCAATACTCGTTCAACCATGGACGGCGCATTTGTCTTTATTGAATTTTCTTGATTATCAATTGTTGGTATTTGTCGTTTTCGAGTTGGTGGAGGAGTTTGCATTAAATTTTCGTTGACCTGTGCCTTGTTTTGTTTAGCACGCGATGCCCGCTTGACTGTTACGGGTGATTTTAGCATATCTTTGTCTGTGTGATTAGTCGGTAACGATACTATTACAGGCCTATCAGTTTGGGTTGATGACGAGTTTTGCGGAGTATTAGTGGCTATTAGTCGCCTTTTTCGTGCAGGAGTTTTAGTTGACAGTTTTTCCAACGCTAAAACATTCTGTTCAGTACCTGATGGATATTCTTCTGTAGGAGAACTGTGTTTATTATCATTATTATCTAATGTTTTAACAATTGGCGGTGGACCTGATGGTGGTAGAAACGGAAGAAAATCATCTGTCGTGGGAATATCCGCTCGTTTTCTCTTTCCTCGAGCTAATTTATTAGTTGTGGTAGTTGATAATGTGATTGCATCGACTGGAACATCTTTTTTATTTGTTGTTTTATCATCTTTGTTAGCTCGAGAGCGCGTTGTTTTTGATGGTTCTACTTGAGATATCTGGTTATTATTTGTTGTCTTTTTACGTCCGCGACGAACGTTTTTTGGTGGTGAAACGGCTGGAGGAATCGGCGGTAATGAAAACTCAAGTGGAGGCATAAGTGTTTGCCTTGCATCTGGTATTGGTGCTGGCAAATCGTTTATCTTAAGTGGTGAAGTTTCATGTTGCTCATTATCAAACGAAGATTTATTCTTATTAGATACTTTTTGTTTCCCACGTGCAGCTCGTTTTGGTTTGAGTAATACCAATTGAGCATTTGTATGATGTTCTGCCGTGGCTAATGTAGATTGGACATTCGGTGATTTATCTGATATTACTACTGTTGATTCGCGATCATTTTTACTTAGTTGTTTTCTCGTACGACCCCGTTTTGGAGATTTGTTATTAATACTTGTTTGCACAGTAATTGATGGTTTTCTTTTTGACGAACGTGATGGATAACGACTTGATTGTGGTTGAATTTCAACTGGTACTTCAACTGGTACTTCGACTGGTACTTGTCGTTTCGATCGTGTGAATGAGATTGCAAGTGATGGTGGTACATCGTCAACAATTTTTTTTGGTTTCCCACGTGAAGTACGTTTCACCGTAATTTCAATATTGTCAGGTACATTATTGAGTGATAAAACCGTTTCTGTCGACTGAACAGTGACAGTCGATTGTTCTTGAATAGCATTAGCTTTTTTGGCAAGTTCACTACGAAGTGGGATTTTCGGCGGCAATCCAATATCTGAAGCGATTAATTCATCATTCTTTGTTGCTTTTCGATTAATACGTTTTTTCTTTTCTTTCACTGGTTCGGCAGTTTTGTCATCATTAATAATAATCGGTATTTGTTGTTGCACTACAAGTGACTAAACAAATGCAAAATGAAAAAATAGTTGTTTAAAACAACTATCTAAATAATACTAAACTGTCCATCAAAATGAGTCAAGATCAAAAACATACTAAGTAAAACAATCTCATGTTTCTAACGGATACGATAGCACTGATGACCCGCTCAGTATTTTTCATTTTTCTCTCGATCACTAAATTTGTTTGAAATAATGTTTTTTGAAAGAACCGCCGTCAAATTCTCTACGATAAATGCCTCAAACGTTTTATTCCAATATGTGAAGGTGAAAAGAAACAAATAATACTGAGAAAAACTGAAATAATCAACTTTTAAACGTTTTCGAGTAAGAGATATTTTTTTTTAATAAAGTAAATATTAATCTTTTTTAAACTAGGCTTTGTGCAACGTTAGAATATGTACTTTCTGCTGGTGTATAGAATTTTCATTTTAAGGTTTTTTTGAAGGCAAGAAGAATGATTTTTTGCATTTTCCCAAAAGAATATTAATACTCTCCAAAATAAAATAAATCCGATTCACTAAGACTTTTTTGGAAAAAGTTATGACTGTCTCAAAGTAGCGCAAACCTCTTGCCTAAAAGCGATGATTTAAGGTAAAAAGAAGAAAGGCTTTGTTGCCAACAACTAAACATTTTAAAAATTCTGGTTCCAAATAGGAGTCATTGCATGAGAGAAACAATAAGTCGTGTTCAATCAATGTCTCAGATTTGCTTCTAATTAGTTCTATCTTGTTCAGCATGTGTGAAAACCTATAAATCCACATTTTAAGCCTTCTAGGACTTTTACTTTCTGAGTTCTGTATGGTTTTCTATAGTCGCTCGATGGAAAATTCAGCGTTCAAGAAATGGAGTAAAAATAAAGATACTGTTTCTCCGCCAAGACTAGCGATGGAAGAGGGCTTTTTTCATCCTGTGTAGTCTATCGCACGGTCTATCCGATAATGTGATCCAATCGTTTTTACCTCGGATCTTCAGCCCGACACCGAAGGTTTTCTGAGGATCTCAGGGGTTTAGATTTGTTTGACGCCGTTCTTGAGTGTGTGGCTCAACTTCAAAACGATTTGCACTTTTTCATCAAGTGACTACATAGGATGAAAAAAGCCCCCCCTTCCATCGCTTGTCTTGGCCGAGAAACAGTAGATATCTAGCGTATATCGCATCTTCTTGATCTATTTAGTCAACGATATATCAAAAATTCATTGTTCTAAATGGTTATTCACTTGTAGCGCATGTAGTCAAAGAAAGAACGAAAAAAAGAATGGAAGTAGAAATATGCTTAGCTTTAGACGGAGATTAGTCATCCTTTGTGGATAACCGTT